TCCTGCTAAGACACCCACAGAAGCTGTAGAACTACTCTAGATTGCTAGGAATAGGGAATAAAAATGCATTAGTAGTTTTAAATCATATTCTTAGTCCGTAGTATTCTACAGTATACTATGCAGATACATTTGGAAAACAGAAAACTAAACCCTATCTACAACAGGCTATGCTGCACCTTATCAGAATGAACCGCTGGTATTTGAGTAGCAGGCTGACATATTCTGCATAATTTTGGTCTTGACCTATAGGCAGATATGAAACAAGAGAAATGCAAGGAAACACAACTTCTGAATCCCTCTTACAAGTAAAGGCTGCCTTCTCCTGCCCTCTTTTCTTCAACCTCAGAGAACACTGACAGCTATTGATATCTCTGCCTGATGATGTGAAGCATCCAGATCATGAAACAAGATGGGAACATAATTTTCTGCTGTGTACGCATGACATATTTTGATGAGTCCTGTAAACACTCTAGAATTAAAGGGGAAAATCTCTGGGAATTTGAAGATTAAAAACTGCAGTACCTGCATACAAGGGTACCTAGCAGTGTTTCCAAAGGCAGCCTCATTGTTTTTTCCTTGCTTTTGAATGCTTAATCATGTCTACTACATTTACATGTCAAACTTATTTATCATGTATGTATTGGGTTTGCACAGCAAGGTTTTGGGAGTGGCGGTCTACAGGGATGGCTTCTGTGAGAAGGTGCCAGAAGCTTCCCCTATGTCCAATACAGCCAATGCCGGCTGGATGCAAGATGGACCCACCGCTGGCCAAGGCCGAGCCCATCAGCAACAGTGGTAGCGCCTCTGAGATAACGTATTTAAGAAGGAGGGGGTGAACTGCACAACTGCAGCGAGAGAGAGGAGTAAGAATATGTGAGAGAAACAACTCTGCAGACACCAAGGTCAGTGAGGAAGGAGGGGGAGGAGGTGCTCCAGGCACCGGAGCAGAGATTCCCCTGCAGCCCCTGGTGAAGACCATGGTGAGGCAGCTGTGCCCCTGCAGCCCGAAGGAGGCTGCGACCCCGTGTGACCTGTGGACCCGTGGAGAGAGAGGAGCCCGCGCTGGAGCAGGTTTGCTGGAAGGACTTGTGACCCCACGGGGGACCCATGCTGGAGCCGTCTGCTCCTGAAGGACTGCACCCCATGGAAGGGACCCGTGCTGGAACAGTTCGTGCAGAACTGTAGCCCCTGGGAAGGACCCACGTTGGTGAAGTTCATGGAGGGCTGTCTGCCATAGGAGGGACCCCACTCTGGAGCAGGGGAAGAGTGTGAGGGGTGTTCCCCTTGAGGAGGAAGGAGCAGCAGAGAAAACGTGTGATGAACTGACCCCAACCCCCATTCCCCATCCCCCCTGCGCCGCTGGTGGGGAGATGGGAGTAAAGTTAAGCCTGGGAAGAAGACGGGGTAGGGGGAAGGTGTTTTAAGATCTGGTTTTATTTTTTGTTACCCTACTGTGATTTGATTGGTAATACATTAAGCTAATTTCCCCAAGTTGAGTCTGTTTTGCCTCTGACAGTAATTGGTGAATGATCTCTCCCTGTCCTTACCTCAACCCATGAGCCTTTCATTATATTTTCTCTCCCCCTTCCAGCTGAGGAGGGGGAGTGATAGAGGGGCTTTGGTGGGCACCTGGTGTCCAGCCAGGGTCAACCCACCACGATGTAAAATATATTCCCTATAGTGAGATACTTCACAGACTTCATCTTCAGACTGCAGCTATTTCTTCAACTGTTGACTCTAGAACACTAGCCAAAAGCCAGACTAGATGTGTGAGGTCATTAAATAGCAAAATACTAATAAAAACAAATACCCCATTCCTCATGTCATAAGGGGGCGATTTGTCCAGAGTTACTCTTGGAGTCTAGTCTGTTGACTCCACACTTGAAATTACCACACTGCTATTTTTTCTGATCAGATTTAGATCAAAGGTTTTGACATTTGTATGTCAGAAAAAAATGGTGAGCACACTAAAATGTTAAGATGGGCTTACTTTTAAGATCACAGACCTGCCTCCAAAGTGAAAAACTGTACTTCAGTAAGCACAAATAAATGTTCTGCTGAAACCAGTTTGCAAACTCAATTGCTGCTTTCTTTGTGATGGATTTTCCTCATGCCAAGAACTTTAATTTTCCTTCCAAGAGGATATTAATCACAGAATTTCACTGGAATTATGCTTATATTCAACCACCTACAATTTCTAAAGCATTTGGTTAGTTTGATTCACCATGAACAGTGAACCTCTAAAGGTTTTGTACACTGAAATACTTCTCAAAATGCAACAACACACAAAAACAGCTCCCCTTTCTCATCATCAACACAATAATCAAAACTTTGCCTTTAATACCAATTTTACTGTCCTTTAACTCCAGATGGATTTTAATTAAATCATGAGTAATGAATTAACCAACCAACGTATCTTCACATTTGTCTGTCTAGGTATTTCTAATTTTTTTATCAGGAATATATCAACATATCATGGATACTTCATGACTAGGAAGTTAATAATACCACCCTCAGCCTCAGAAATGCAGCAAGTGAGGGAGTTAACTCATATAGGCTTTACTGTGGGGGAAGACCCACTATAAAGTCACACAAAGTCTACTGCATCTCTAGCCTACTGTGACTGTGTGGATGGAAAGCTGTGTTGCTACTGCCAGAGCAGCTAGCCCATGCACAACACACTGCGTGCTGTGACATGCATTCCAGCACCAGGCTGGGGGAATTAGGAGCAAAGAAGCACTTCAGTAGAAAGGAAAAAGAAGGTTTAGGTTGAGGGTTTAAGCTGGAATTTTTCACGGTCTATCCACCCACATAATTCAGCAACTCTCAAATTTTTTTGCTTTGTTTCATGCCTAACTGAAAGAGCTTTATTTATCACTGCACCTAAAACACCATGATATTTTCCCTTTCACACAATGGCCATGAAAGCATCTAGGATGGTTGTCAGGTTGGCAAAACCTTTTGTAAGCAACACAGAAATGAAATCCCCAAACTGTACCATCCACATTTATCTGGAAGTCTTGGCATAGCCTCAAACCAACTACAGGAACAGAAACTACTGTGATTTGATTGGATTGACTCTCTCCTCAATACATACATAAGGTTAAATAACTCCTGGAACTAAACTCTACATGCTACGAGAAAGAGCAGTAAGTTTGCCACCACAGGCAAACCTATCAGGACTCTCCCAACCCTACTTCATATAGCATTTAAAAAACCCCATTGCTCAGAAAGCTTGTGTACTTCTGTACACACACATCTGCGTGTTTTGTACTATTCAATCACTCTTTTTCAGCTTCTTTCTTGGTATGAACAGTAAACTTTAATGGTCATAACTGAGCAGGGTTTTCTGGAACTAAGATTCACATATTTCCAAGGCGTTTCACATTCCACTTCCCTGTTTTAAACAAAACCAAATTTTGTGTTTGATTAGTGAAGCCTGGCAGAAAATTCATATTCTTTTCTGAGGTTTTATGCCCCACATTAATTGGTCATACTTACTGAAGTCCACTCTGTCCTAATTTGCCACTCACTGCAGATCTTCAGCTGGCAAGTGCTGGTTGTCTCTGGTTTCTCCAGGTGATGACAGCGGTATTGCTGAACTGTCAATGTACGATTGGCATACATTTGCCGGCATAAGATCTGTCGATGCTGCATACCAAGGCCGCACGTTTTGCTGCACTCAGACCACTCCCCTATATCCCAGCTAAAGAAAAACAAAAAAAGGAGAATGTATTTTTTCAGTAAAGATTTCTCTAATACTAACCTTAACAGAACTCAAACAACACGATTCTGGTGCTGGTACAGAGTCTTATAAAATAACACCTAAGCTTCTGCATGCACAACTTAATCCCTTACGAAGACAACGTTATATACTTGAAACCAATCTACCTGTAGTGGTCAATAATAATAAGCATGCATAGAGATTGCACAAATCATGGTTTCAAGACATGTTACAAATATTAATTAAGCCACTAGTAGCTGTTTGTTTTTTCAAAGAATCTATCTATAATAATATATTACTGCTTTAATGACACTCCCGAAAATTTAAGATGTGTTGCATAATTTTTTTCTGCAGCAAAGGCTCTAAAAAAGGACAATGTCACAAAAATCATGTAATGCATCCAGGCATTCATTCATCAGTAAAACTTAAATAGCAAATTATAAGCAATGAATAAATACATTTAATTTTAGAGATTAAAAAAATCCCTAGATATAGTCTTCTCATTCCAAGATTTCATTGTATTTATTTAATCACTTTTGTATAAACATGGCATTTTCATGAAAGGTTCTGTTTTCATTTCAAGCATGAAGACATACACAAGTAAGGGAAGTATCTGAACTGTTCACACATTTTATTTCAAAACTCTTGTGGAGAGCAAGCAAAATCTCTGTATTCTTTTTAATAAATATTTACGTATCTTTGTTTATAGTCTTGATATTATCCTATGTAAACAAATGAAGCTGAGTTGTTAGAAAGAGAAAGGTGAGAAAAATGCTTGGTGAGAGAAGACATCTCCAAGTAAACGGCTTCAGAAGTTCCTGAGTATCTAATATGCACCAGGAAATTGCTTGTCAGGCATCTCTAACACTGTAACTTACACCATTAGAAACTTCCGTGGGATAAGGAGTGGCCACTTGCTGCTCAGAAAAGAACTGAAGAATGTAACCACAAGAGAGATGGAAAATACAGCTGCTGACCTGAAATAAAGTTGCTATAATGGCAACTGGGTTTAACCCTTTTCTCTTCTTGGTATACACCCTGGATGAATTGACCTTTTTTTTTTTGACTATTTAAAAGAAGTTGCTTAGCCAATTGTAAGTCACAGTCTCCTGACGGCAAGTGTCTTTTCAGAAGGAAATCACACCTGAGCTAGCTGTATTATTAGTGTGCTGGAAACAAGGACTACCACTTCAGAATCTAGCCTTTGAGCTGAAGAGCTACTGAATTCCAGGAAAGAGAGGTGATGTTTATGGACGGCTATTGTGAGTACTATCAGCCTAATCTCATCTTTAAATATGACACCATGAAATGAGCAGGTGGGTACTAGAGCACACAATGTGGAGTGATATAACCTACAGAGCCTCTTCTTTAGACAGGTATATGCAGAAGCCTGTCACTTGAAAAAATGTACCCAGAGAGAGACCACATATAGTGCGCATGCCTGAACAATCACAGAAATTTTGAGAAATTACTACACTCACTTGTTGCCAACTTCCCTTTGGTCTTCTCTGAATGTTATTGCTCCCTGTGAAGGGGAAGAAGGCCACCAACAACCAAGGAAAAAATATCCACTACACTTTATGACAGAAGTGCATAGTACTTCGAAGTTCAAACTAGTTTCCTACTTAGAATAGCCTCTTTCACATGCAAAATCTCAATGACATTGGCTTATTTCACTTGACTTAAATTGTAATATCTTACAAAGCTGGACATGGGAAGAGGTTGCAGGCCTCCTCTTCTGGAATGGGTTTGGTGCTGCTGTCACAGTAACTCTCAGATACCTCCTCGTGAGTGATTCTGTTGACACAGTGGAAAACTGGGTACTGTGACCCTGAAATGAAGAAGAAAATTAGGTGATGCATTGTGAAAGACTCTGCAGTATAAGCCATAACAGTAGCATCCAACACTGATGCAGAAAGGAAAAGCGTAACTTAACAAGAGGAAATAAAAACTAAGATTTTATTAAAAATTTCCAAATGTAAGTGAGAGTGGAATGCTATACTGTTTACATTGTAGTATTAAGGGAAGTCCTTAGCATACAGAAAGTACAGCATGGCATTGTAGGAAAGGTTGAGAAATCATGCTTCTTGGTCTGCATGAGATCTTTATAGTGCAGAGAGTACAAACATTAAGTATTCAGGCAATTTAAAAAAATGCAGCCAAGCAGCCACAACACAGGCTTGAGAGGAAGAAAAATTTAGCAATCATTCTGCTGCACTTCTGGGAAGAGACTGAGCGTCCTTACTTTAGAGTTACGTGGTGAGTAAACACATAAAAATATTATCCGATTTACCTGTTTTTTGAAAAGATTCATAAGATAAAGCTTACAGGTTAAACACAACTGTAGACTACAGACTCACTAAAAATTACTACTCTCCAGATTTAATGCTCAGTCTTTAAATTATTTTCATGCTAGAGCAGAAAGACAGAACTCTACTTCTATTACTATTGCAAATTGACTACCAAAACGATGACCAAGAGCAAGGTGCTAACATGCCTACTTTAATTTGGTAAGTGAGAAGTTGGAGTACATTAATAAGTTTCCTGAAACAGGTGATCGAGGAGCAAACTAGGAAAGGTGCTCTGCTGGACCCAATACATAAAAAACAAGGAAGAAAGAGTCAGGGATATGAAAATCAGCAGCAGCTTTGGCTGCAGTGACCATGAAATAGTAGAGTTCAGGATTCTAAGAGAAGGGAACAGAGCAAAAAGCAGGACCACAACTGTGAATTTCACAAGAGCAGACCCAAACATCTTCAGAGATCTGCTTGGAAGAATCCCATGGGCTAAAGCCCTAGAGAGAAGAGGGGTCCAGGAAAGTTGGTTGATACTCAAAGACCACCTCCTGCAAGCTCAAGAAGGGTCCGTCTCAGCAAGTAGGAAATCAAGCAAAGGTGGCAGGAGGCCTGCATGGATAAGCAAGGAGCTCCTAACTAAACTTAGATATAAAAAGGAAGTACAAGAGGTGTAAGCAGGGGCAGGTGATCCCGGAGGAGTACAGAGATGCTGTCTGATTGTGCAGAGACGGGGTTAGGAAAGGCAAGGCCTACCTGGAGTTGAATTGGGCAAGGGATGTGAAGGGCAACTCTGCAAGTACCTAAACAGCAAAAGGAAAACTAGGGAAAATTTTCTTTTTAGTTCTTTTTAGAAAGCAGCATAAAAGTCTGCTGATTCCCTCTCTGCCATGTTTATACCATGTAAAGCGGCAGTAAGGCCTCCTCTCACTGTGGTACAGCAACAGCACAGGACACCTCCATGGTAATAGGAGCCATTTGGTTACAAGAGAAACAGGGCTCAGCCAAAGAGGAGTGGTCAAGGTACAACCCACAACTGCCAGTTCAACCACTTGAAGCTAGGTGATTTTAGTTGCTTTAGGCTATCCTACAACAAGTAACTCCAAATGACTGATTATTTATTGGTATTGAAACCTTATCAGTGCAGATATTCAGAATTACACAGAGAAAGAAACCACGAACAGGAAAATTAACTCTGAACTGAAAGAGAAACATTTTGCTTAGGTTAGACCTAACTTTCTTCCACAGAATGATATAAGCACAAGTGGAATGCTATTCAACCAGACAAGCAGATATACAGTTCACACTTCTTCCCACAAACTTCTCCTGGAATGCTTTCCTTGTCAGATTTCATGTTTGCCATTTTGCCTTTGAAATGCATGGATGATGTGTGATCGTTCTGAATGAGGCTGTTTTTAAAGTAAAACTATACTGACGGACCTTGATATTAACAATATATTTCATAATTTGGAGAAGTATAGTGTACAATCTGAAGACAGAGTCATAAAAGCCTAATTCTCAGTGTTTGCAGTCAGAAATAGAATGAGATAAAACCCAAAATTCAGGTGGTTTAAGCAAGCACTTTTTCAACAGAACTAATCTTGCTCATACTTACACTGCTCTTATCTGAAACACTGACGTTTATCTAGGAAAGCTACCACTTCATCTCAGGAATGCACCCTATACAACTGTCTCTAGACCAAGCATCAGAAAGATTACAGAAAAGTGTCTTTTTTTCCATGTTACTGACAAGACAGGAGGAAGCAGGGCACAAGTTATCAGTACAATAACTTCATGTTTCTGCAAAACAGACTTCTCTTTTCCTTAGATCAAAATATATGCCTGGACATTTACAAAAAACAAACTGCCATGCCTCTGAGTCAAAGGCAAAAAGAAGTCCCATCTTGCCTGGAAGACCTAAGCAATTTGCACAGAAAACTCAGCTGTATCTTTGCTGGTATTTGTGTCTAAAAAGAGTGTAGAAAAGGGCTAGGTTGTAACAGTTAAAGCTTACATACCTCAAATGTGGGTTTACTAAAGCCTACACTGTCAGTGACCCTGATTCATAAGATTATTGACACTATAAGTCTTAGGCCACTGGACTGAAGATCAGTTTTCTCCAGCTTTCCATTTCTAATTATCCACTTGAACTTGCAGTCTTTGTCTAAGATCTGTGGTTAAATAGCTCTACCTGTTTTACCTCCTGGACCTCAAAACCTCTGTAGATTTAATGGTAACTGCTAAATAATTTTTTTAATTGTATTATCATATTTTAAAATTAACAATTCAAACACCTCATCCTGGTTTTACTGAAATCAATTTCCTTTGTCATGCAACCAACAGCTAACTTATACTTGTGATCAAGAAATAGAAAGGAGATCAATATTCAGCCATGTATTAAAAAAAATACTGCATCAGAGTTCTGCAGTAATTCTAAATTATGACTTTATGACTTTAAATAAAATAAGGGTGGCTGTAGTTGATGGTAACTGTTGGCTGGCACACTTCAGTTTCAGAATAGAAAACTTAAAATTACAATTCCCACTGAAGTTATATTTGTCAATAATTTAATTCTATCAAAAGTAAGGCTTTGTATCTCACCAGCTAGCTTACACTAATACTTCAGAAAAAGCTATTATATTTTCTGAAATCTAAGGGAAAAATTCAGCAGTTTGCACTTTTTAACCTCCTTTCTAATTCTTCTTTAAAAAAGTAACAAACATGCTGCCATGACTGATAACAAATTACACATCCCAAGTCATTTCCAAGGTGTAGGTAACAGTTTTAAGGCACAGGCTGTGCTCAGAGAAGATGAAGCGAGGTAATCTTCCTGTATGATCTTTCAGACAAAGTTTGGATGAAGTTCCTGTGGCTCCAGGACTGAAGGAATTTGCAGTGCACCAGCCCGCTTCTCTCTGGACAACAGAGAGGGATGATGTGCTACCTCACTTCCCTGACAAGACGCGGTAGCAGTTTCCGCACTGTCCAAATTCTAGCAGGCGTATTTGCTTGGTGATCTTAAATGGAAATCTGGGACAAGAGTCAGTGGCAGTTCTCATAGGAAGCATTTTCACTTTTGAAAAAAAATGGTAATAGTCTTTTTTTTCCAAGCCAAAGTTCTTTGAAATCTCACAGGTTTTCATCAGAACTGTTAATTTATCCTCCCTTTTTCCTTAGGTAGCACAAAAATAATTTTTATTTCTTTCTTCTTCCAACTTAAAATTTCCTAATGTTATTTAGCTTAGACAGGTTCATTTTGGGGGTAAAAAAAAAAAAAAAAAAGAATAAGACAATTAAAGACCAGGTATCATATGCATTTCTGCATGAAGAAATAAAGTAGCAGAGAAGAGAAAAACATGGGGAAAAAAAAAAAAAGAAAGTGTCCTATATTGAATCACACAAAACGAAAACAAAGCCTTAAACAGTAGAAGATTTCTTCCACATTTTTTCCATTTTTTATCAGCCTATATAACCTAGTTTGACTTGAAATCCCTTAGGGGCATCAGAGATTCGCATAGGCTTCTCACACCAAGATCACAAGGAATGTTCATACAGTCCCAACAGTGTCAGGATCCTGCTCTCAAGGTCCTGTTTCTTTTGAATTTAACTTGATCAGAACACACACACATTCTCCAAATAACAGGAAAAGAGATACTAATTTTTGACAGTTCCCTTGCTAAATTTCATGGAGTAAATTTAAACTGTATAGGAGGCTGAAAGATATCCTTTGAATTCTGTTTTCCTACAATTTTCCCACCATCACTTTGACTCTGACTTTATTAATACCACTGTCAATAGCTGCCAGATCTCTGAAGAAATGGCAAGAACTACGTTCAAATGTCCATAAGGTCCACAGGAAATACAACCAAGACTTCAATGATGTAAAGGAAGAATACATTTACCTTGATGTGTTCCTACAACAGCATCATAAATTATCTGATTTGGATACTAACATTCACCACGTATATAACAATCCAGACACTAGGCAGGTGATACCCACTGACTGCTGCTAAACAGTATTCAGGTGCAATTAAGGATTCTGCCGATATGACTTGTGTTAAAGACACACAGTGTATTTAAATGCCAATGAAAACAATTCTGGTTTACATTCCCTCCTTTTCTCCATAAAAAGGCTGACTTCAAAAGGTCTCTGAGTTTTATAGGCTGTACTTTAGCTCCAACACTTTTGCCGTAATTTCTCCAAGGAAAACAGTTTTCTCAATATACTGGGAAGCAATTTTGACTGGTATCGATATTACTGGACTTTTTCAGCTCTATCTGTAGCTATAACACGGACACTCATCTGGTCTTGGACCAAATTTGCAAAGCGTCCTCTCAAAGTCATTAGGAAGCAAATGTTCTCAATGTATATGAATTGGTGACAGCCAGCTGAGTTCCCTCACTGGTACGCCTATGTCAAAGCTCTGCAATTTTTTGGGTATGGTGATGGGTGGCTATGTAGAGTACAAAAGATTTCACTTTTACTATCACAAAAACTTATTCTTCCAAATAATTGCTTGTGCTATGCATTAGTGAATCTGTGGTCACTGTGAGTGTCTTATGGCAAAGATTAATCTGGCAAGCTCAAAGTAGTGTATCCATCACATCCCAAAAGCTCACTAATTACCAGTCCCTTTCTGTCCCTCTTCCTTCCCACTTCTCCCCTACGAAAACCTCTGTTTTCTGAAGCCACATTATTGCTGTTCCAGCAATATCCAATGAGGCAAAGATATGGCTGATGGAATCCCTGTGAAACCTTCCCGTAAAGATCAGAAAACTGCTGACAAAGACACAAAAAGCACTGAGGGTGTATCTGACAAAGCTGGAGAGGCCAAATGGAAGGATAAAGAATGCCAAAGAATGTTGAGGAAAGCAGCTGTGTATCAAGGGTGTGAGAGAGAGCAGCTTGCCATAAAATACTGAAATATTTTGAAATATTTCCTTTCAGAGGCAAATGCCATATATTCCCTTTTAATTTACATACTTTGGATTTTTTTAAATTTTGTTGTTTCTACCAATTTAAAGCACACATAATGGTACTGACATGTCTTTTGCTTGTAAGATAACAGAAAACACCATGTCCAGCAACACTTTGTGCATACAAGAGCTGCTGAATAGTCACACTGCTTCTTCCCTCCATGCTTCCCCTCTGCCACGCTGGAACCCTCCTGTGTGTAATCTACTTTGTGTGCATGGTGTATGAAGCACTTACCTTTCCCACATGTAGTAGTGCACTCAGTTTTTCCAATCTGTTTCCAGTTGTGTTCTCGGTTTTGTCTTGGTGGTTGCACAGCAGGCACCTGATTTTCTGGCTGATGAGAAGGAAATCTTCCTGGCTGAATAACTGGAAAAGTTCCAGCTGGCTGTCCAGTGAGCGTATCTGTCTCCCTATGCAAATCCTCATCCTCATGATTTGCACTTTCTGGCATTCCTAACTGACCATTCAAGGGCTCCCCTGATGATGGACAATAACAAAAAAGTAAAATAATGAGCCTCACTTGCAAATATCAGTCTGTGTTTTCATCCACTAATAATCACAACTGGAGCAACATAAAACTTGAAAGCAACTTTAATCTGCTATGCAGAGACCTCCTAATAGTGTCCTGCAAAGATTGTGTTGTTTTAAACTAAGATAACCAAGTCTCAGCCATTAAAGACTGAAGAATCTCCAAACAGACTGTAGAGTTAATGCACCCAGTGTCAAAATTTCCCAAAGCTTTTTTTTTTTTGTACCATGCTCCATATTCTGTGCCTCCCCATGTCACAGCACAGCTCCTCCTTGTTACGAAGAGACTGCAAACACACGTAGTAATTTGTCAAAGCAAGTCACGAACATTAAAAGTAGGACCAAACTCGCCTGCAAATTTTCTACTGTCCTTCAGAACTTCACACCAGTACACACAGCACATATCCACAGCTTAGTCAGGAGCATGAGCTGTCCAGATTCTAGCCCAGGAAGGCAACAGTTTTGTGTTTGATCCTCTCCAGTTGGGGGAGGAAAGAGAAAATGTGAAGGGTTGTTTTAAATTATCTCAAACTCTGAAGAAAAAAATCATGTTCTATTTCATTTCTGAGACATGGTTACAACACTCCAGCTCCTGCAAAGCCATGGTTAACATTTTAACAACAAAATTGTTACTCAAAGTAGAAATATGTGACCAGATTCCCTGCTACAGTATAAATAAACCCTGCCAGTATTAATTCACTGAAGTTACCAAATCTATGCAGACTTCTCTTTTAGCATGTAGGGTGAAATTCTGGGCCTCTCCCACATCAATGGCAGCATTTACACTGAATTTAATGGTATGAATCCCTCCATTAGCTTATTGGGTAACAAAATATGCTTAATAGTAGGAAATAGTGGCATTTTACCTGGCCTCCTGTGAGCAAGCAACTGAGGACTAATGACATTGTCTCCTGGAATGATATACTCATAATGTATACCTGGGTTAGGCTGCTGATGTATCATCTAAAAAGAAAAACAGCCATATATTCAGTTCTCCCACTTATTATATCACTAATACTTAAATATGTACTTGAACTGATCAACTATGTAATGTTTATCATTGGTCAGGACAGAAGCAACGGTTAATGACTGGCTCCAAAAAATGAAAAAAAAGATGCTTGTTTCTGCAAAAAATAAGAAGATACAGGTTACTATGTTTGCAAACTGAGCTAGCTTGTGATGGCAGAGAAACTGTTTCTCTAAACCTTTGAAAAATGTAAAACTGACATGCTCAGGGCCAAGGTGAGGCTGTGGGCTGCACCAGCCACGGCCTCACTTCTTGCCAGCAGAGGCTCACACCAGGCCTCAGCAGAAGAAGAGACAGTCCTAAGGTCACCAAAACATTCTCACATAGAAGGAGCTTGACAGTTGCCTGAGGAGACATAAGCAAGGAAGAAACAAAGCAGAGAAAAATAAATACCACAGACCTCAGTCTACAAATCTAGCCAACTGCCTTTTTAAGGTTTACCAGTTGTACATGAATGGAGCACATGCAGACAGCACATACGTGTTATTCTGCGTCTACCATCTCACAAATCCAACCGTTCCTTTCATCACTGTGGAGCTACCTCTGCACCACTCAATAGAGACTCAGCAATCAACTAGCTAAAATTACTAACAATATGCCACTCTCACATAAGCATTGCTCAATAAACATCAAGTGAACAGATTACAAAGGCCCACATACTTGTTACAGCAGCTGAAGAGCACCCATACAACCCTCCTAGAATCACAGAATCATAGAATCGTTTAGGTTGGAAAAGACCTTTAAGATCATCCAGTCCAACCATTAACCTAACATTACCAAGTCCACACTAAACCAGTCAAGGGTAGACTAGACTAAACCATGTCCAGTTTTTTACCCAGTGAAGACTATGCCCATCCAAGCCATGAGCAGCCAGCTTCCTTAGGAGAATGCTATGGGAGACGGTGTCAAAGGCTTTGCTGAAGTCCAGGTAGGTAACATCCACAGCCTTTCCCTCATCCACTAGGCAGGTCACCAGTTCATAGAAGAAGATCAGGCTGGTCAAGCAGGACCTGACTTTCATGAACCCATGCTGGCTGGGCCTGATCCCCTGGCTGACCTGCACTTGCCTGTTGAGTTCACTCAATAGGAACCGCTCCATAATCTTTCCCGGCACCGAGGTCAGGCTGACAGGCCCATCTGGCCCCATAGACTTGTGAGTGTCCAGGTGGCATAGCAGGTCATTAACTGCTTCCTCCTGGACTATGAGGGCTCCATTCTGGTCCCCGTCCCTGTCTTCTAGCTCAGGGGCCTGAGTACCCTGGGGAAGAATCCTGCATCCCTCCACATTAATTTTCAACTGAATGAAGATGTAAGTGCAGACAGACTCCCACTGCTTTACAGCTGGCCACAACTCTAACAAAGTGTTCTTTATGAAACAGAGGCAGGAACCGTAAAGTTTTCCCCCTTTAAATGTGAAAATCAAGCCGAGTGGTTTCAGAACGCTGCTGCACAAGCCCATGCAAGCTGACATGAGCACGCCTCTGAAAGTCAGTGTCACTTCTTGTGTGCTTGTTTAAGCAGTTAGGCATAATAAGACCTGAGCAAGATATGACTTTATGAAAGCTATTTAAAACTGTCAGCAGCACACTCCATACCCAACTGGCTTGTATTACGCTGCTGCTGCTGAGAGCCTGAGCACACTCACACTAGAAATGCAGGATGCCATCAGCTGCTAATTTTACTGGTTTAGCTTTGATTCCTTCAGTACTGCTTCTACTGACACTGCTGCTTTAAAAGTCCTGAACTCTTTGTGCGGATTGGTCTGGTAGAGGCCTCAGATTACACTTTAAGTTAAAGTACCTGTTTTTTTAAAAAACAAAACCAGACCAAACAAACACCAGAGCTTGCACTAGCTCTTTGGTTCCGACAAACCATGGGCCAAAAAGAAAAAAGTCATGCTATGCCCTCTGTCCCTCAGAGATCATTCACTTTTCGGCACCATCTAATAATGCATTGCCTGTAATATTTTTATATAAATT